CCCACCAGGTTGTCCCCAGAGCACCTGACTGGCTGACAGACGGCCCCAGTCAGGCTACAACCTTGACACAGACAAACTTGCTGGCAGACACCTTCCCTTCTGCTAAATTCTCTTCTTAGTTTTGTATTTGAGATGACACCTTTTTGTTGTTGTTGTTGTTTTGAGGACACACCCGGTGAAGCTCAGGGGTTTCCCTGGCTCTGCACTCAAGAATTACTCCTGGAAGTGCTCAGGGAGACCATCTGGGATGCTGGGGATCGAACCTGGGTTGGTCATGTGCAAGGCAAATGCCCTAACCACTGTACTAACTCTCTGGCCCCTGGGGTGGCACTTTTATCCCCAAAAGTCCATCTTTTGAAAATAATCTGGATTCCTCTCAGGAATTCTCGACCCCTTAGAGCTAGCAGGCCCTGAGATGTTATGAGCCAATGCCAGACAGGGAAACTGAGGCCAGAGGAAAACAGAGGCTTTTTTTCAGATGACTAGAGACTGACAGGACACCTGGGATCTCCCCAGCCACGGTCAGCCCCGGTCTCTACAGCAGGCTGCGAGCAGGGCCAGACCGACAGGTTCTCCTGGAACAGATATTGGGCCCAGAAAGTGGTCAGCTCTGCAGAGTCCTGTGGCACGGTCACTCTCTAATTGAAAAATTGGTCAACAGGCTAGCGTTCCAAAGTGAGCTAAGTTATCCACCAACTACCGGGTGTTCCAAAACCAACAAGCTGATAGTGAGAACAAACCGGATGTAAAAACAAACTGGCATTCCAAATAGAGGGGCGAAAAAACACCCCCAACTCCCAAGTGGTTTTCAAATGAGCAGCAGCATGGAAACGGGTGGGATGGTTCCGGGCACAGGTTCCAGGCCTTCCGGGAGGAGGAGACTGGATTGGGGCAATGTGGATTCTGGGCCTCTGGGGAGCTGACCCTTGGCTGAACCACACATGGTGGCCATGCTGGCCTGCCCCCACTGGCTGAATGCCCGCCCTCCATGTCTTCTTTAGGCCTCTGTGCCTTCCCTGCAGGGTGTGGGACCCTTCTCTGCAAGGTGCCCCGCAGACAGCAACAGCTCTGCAGCCGGAAGGGGAGTCTGCCCAGATCCAGGGCTGGTCGGACCCGCGTTCCCAGGTCCTTCATGCTCCAACGTCCTTCCTGAGCCCAATCAACTTTCACTGCCTCACATGGCACTCTCCGTCCCCACGTGCTTGCTTTGGCGGAGACCGGTAAGAAGGTCACTCTGGGGACAGATTTCCAGCCAGCAAACGAAGTCCAGATGCCACATTCCGGGCACACGGAAGCCACGTCGGGACGGCCTTTCTGGAGCTTCAAAAGCAGCCCCCGCTGATACCAAGAGAGGGTCTGGACACGAGGCATGACAGCTCGCAGACGAATTGTCTTTCTGTGACCTTGCCAGGAGCTGTCACCGCGTGGGAGGGCGGAGGGCCCTGACATCCCGTCGGTGGCTGTGCCTTTCATCTGGAGGTGACCCAGGGGTTCTGGGCAGACTTGCTTTATGGGGATTTGGGCACACGTCAAACTGGGGAACTTTAAAATAGCAACGGCTGTCTTCCAAGCCCACTTCTCGGTAGTGGAGTGTCGGAATGATGAAGGAAAACCGGAGGGGGTGAGGGCCTGGCAGAGACCTCCAGCCCGCCGCCGCCCCCCCCCCCCCCCCACTCTCTACGTACCGGGAGCGCCTTACAAGAGGGGCCGGGCTGCCTGGGGCGGGGTGGGGGTGGTGTGGGGTGCAGTTTACAATTCTTCCTAGCTGTGGGTCAGAGGAACCCCCCTGCACCCCATTTGACTCTACTCTCAGGGCCTTCCTTGCTAGATGCACAGCAGGCCTCGGCCCCTGGTTGGCCTGTGGCCACTCAGCCTTGCCGCCCCCTCCTGGGTGGCTGGATTCGAGGCCCTCCAGCTTCTCCTCATGCCCCCAGGCTCCCTCTGCAGTGTCTTTCCAAGAAGCTGAGACTTGAAGACACAGAAGGGAGCTGGGAAGAGGGAGGCAGTCGAGAGACCCGGTGGTGCTCGGGGCTCACTCCTGGCTGTGCTCAGGGATCACTCCTGGTTCAGGGCTCACTACTAGCTACGCTCAGACCCTACTTCTGGCTCTGTACCTAGGGCTTACTCCTGGCTGTACTCAGGCCTTACTCCTGGCTGTACTTGGGCTTACTCCTACCTTTTTTTTTTTTTTTTTTGGTTTTTGGGTCACACCCGGCGATGCTCAGGGGTTACTCCTGGCTCATGCACTCAGGAATTGCTCCTGGCGGTGCTCGGGGGACCATATGGGGTGCTGGGAATCGAACCTGTGTCGGTCATGTTGGCTGCGTGCAAGGCAAACGCCCTACCCGCTATGCTATCGGTCCAGCCCCTTACTCCTACCTTTGTGGCTCAGAGACCACTACTGGCTTTGAGCTCAGGTCTTACTCCTGGCTATACTCAAGGCCTACTCCTGGCTCCGTGCTCACGGATTACTCTTGGCTTTGTGTTCAGGCCTTACTTCTGGCTATGGTCTGGGAACACTCCTGACAAGCCTTAGGGGATCTTACGTGGTGGTGGGAATCAAACCTGGGACCAACGTGTGCAAAACATCTATTTAACCCTAACCCTCATTCAGTAATCACTGAGACCCTTCCTAATTGCTACCTGATATAGCAGGGTTTTTTTCCCCTTGGCCACAACCAGTGGTACTCAGGGATCACTCCTAGCAGTGCTTAAGGGTCTATATAGGATGAAGGATCAAACCCCAGTCGGTCACTTACAAGACAAGCATCTACCCACTCTACTATCATAGCTAGGGCCCCACACCGTTCCTTTTCGATAAACACCTTGTTTAAAATGAAGAGATCTATTACAACTGCTTTTTTCATTTTGTAACTAAGAATTCATAGGCACTGAAAAATTGAGTGCCTTGGGGCCTGACCTGGCTTCAATCTCTGGTACCACACATGGTCCCCTGAGCAGACCCAGGAATAGCCCTGAGCACGGAGTGTGCGCCCTCCTAAAAAAGACAAATTGAATGCCTGGAGTCAGAACCCACATTTGGCACGCAGCAGCCCCCTACTCCCCAAACATTGGCTGCAGGCCCCTTCCAAAGTGCTGTATGCAGAAACTGATTAGCAAGATCCTTTGTAGGTAGAAATATCTCAAAGCGTAGTTGTAGAACTTGAGATCTGGGAAGAACTTTGCAGTTTCTTTAGTCAACCTCAGTCACCTCCTTGAAGGGGCAGCCGAGGTCCAGGAAGGCCTTAGCCTTAGAATTTGTCCCAGGTCATCACGGGGAGAATAGATATGGGTGAATACATGCTGCAGCTGCCCGATCCTGGTCAAAAATATTTAAGTCTGAGTCACAGGAATTACAGTATTTATCAAACCGGTGGTAGAAGTGAACGTGCAACGCAAGGGAACTAGTTCAGAGTTCAAAAATATTGAGCAAACTGGGCTTTCAACACAACAGAAAGCCTGTACGAATTCCAATCTACCATGTGGTAGAATAATGGATTCTTAATTGAATCTCTGCCTCAGAGTGGAAGAAGGAGTCTTGAACGGAAAATCCCAGGGAGGAGGCGATGAGATATGACTTCAGGCCAGAGTAAAAAGTCTGGGGAGACGGCAGGCAGTGAACCAGGCTGGGAAAAGGTTTTTCGCTCACACCAAATGCAGATCCCTTGTGTCCAGTCCATATCTGCGCGTGCCCCCACCTCCCTAGTCTTGCTCCTGTGTTCTGACTCCTAACACTGTAAGCCCATGGGTTCATACTTGCCCCCTTCTCAAAAGAACAGGTGTGCACAGCGCAAATATGACTGAACTGATTTAATAAATCCGCGGGTATGTGCTGCGGTGTTCTCAAACTCCAGTCTTGCACGCTTCTCAGGCAACACAATGATCAAACGCGCTTTCAGGGCTGGCAGGGAGCCGGAATAGTCTAGTCCGAACCCACGTTTCAAAGATAAGAATACGAGGCCCCAAAAGGGAAGGACTCCGCCCAGGAAGGCCAGACAGTTAATGGCTTTGATGGCCAAAATGAAGCATTTCGACAGATTCACGGACTCTTGGGTTGTTCAGCTTTGGGGACCTTGGTCACATTTTGCAGCCTGAAGTGCTAATTAAACCAGAGAATTATGGACTTCCTATTTATAGGTAGGAGCGAAGATATTAACTAGGCCATGAAACCTGGGGACAGGAAAGAGCTCTCATCTCCCAAGATTCACCCATCACGGCCAACCTTTATATTTTAAGGCAGAACGTGGGGGTCGAATAACCTGCGCTTTCCTATTTCTAGACTTGGACTCGAGTTCCACTCAGCCCCAAAAGCCCAGAGCTATGGCCGAGAGAAGGGGAACTCCCTCCCCCGGGCCAATGTTGCTCTCCCAGCAGGAGTGGTGAAACCAGCCTTGGGGATCTACCGATGGCTCCCCCAGGCTGGGTCTGACACAGTTTTTCTATTACTTTGAGTTTTAACCAATAGTAGTCAATATGCTTTCACTGAACTTAAAAGTGCAAAGCAAGGACAAAGGAAGCCCACAGTGTTTGGAAGAGACATGCCACTCGAGCTGGCGGTTCTCTCATGCTTCACTTTCATGGTTCACAGTGACTTTCGCTCTGCAGCCAACATCAACTCTCTCGCGGGAGAACTGCTGGTGTGAACAAAAATGCTGAAATCAAAGCACTTCCCAGCTTCAATCTGTTAGAACCCGTGTGCCACTGGGGAGTCACTTAACCTCTCTCCATCAGCTCCCTCTGCTGTACAGTGAGTCTCAAACTATTCTGAGTACCCAGAGCCCTCTCCTGGGTACTGTGGAGGTTGGCCAATTAAAGCTAATTAAGCCCTGGGAAAGAACCAGAAGATACTGTGCAAGTGCTGAGTATTTATGGGCCGCGAACAGTCGCAAACACTCCGAAGGGACAGGGATCTGCAGACAGCAGGCCTGCCGGGTGACTCCTGGACACAGAAGGGCCCCAGGCACAAGGCACCCTGCAGGGCAAACAGACACCACACAGTGTCATTCAACAACACCATCTTTATTCAAAAATAGATATCTATGAGACATTTCAGAATATACTGCTGTCACCAATGACAGCCTATACTTCTAAATAAAGTCCTAAATTAATATACAAATTTAAGCTTTAAAAATATTCTTTAAGGGGGTGGGGGGAGGAACCCAAAAAACAAAAACAAAAGAAGATTGAAGACTTTCTGAGGAATATGCCCTAGAGGAAAGGCCCTTTGAGGTCTAGGGATGCTCTAAGAAGGAAAGAACCAAACAAACACCCTCCCCCCCAAAAAAAACACAGAACTGCCCAACCCCCACCCACTCACCTCATACATACAAGGAGAAAGGATCGATTAAATTAAACAGATGAAATAAGCACATGTAAAGAAGAGGTGGGAAGAAGTAAGATTCGAAGAACAAAAGCATTTCATTAAAAAACTAAAAACAAAGCAGACTCCCTCACAGGAAGTGTACTAGTAACAGGTGCTGAGGGCCAACACATTTCATCTACATAATCGCTACAGATTCCATGTTTCCTGTTCCTGCAGTAATAATTCTGCAGCAGTTGCTGGTCGGACTCCATCAGATGCAATGGAGCTGGGGCACACGCTCTGCTGTCGTGACGTCTGCGATGAGCCGCTCGGCCTGGCCCACCCTGGCTGCTCGGCAGCGACCCACCTCCCCGGAGGAGGCAGCCAGTCCCCGAGGGGACTCCTGAGACCCAGGGAGGGGTGATGCGCAGAAACAGCAGCCATTGGCATCAATCTCGCACTTTGTTAGGTCACCCACTGCCGGTGGCCTCTGGGAGAAAAGCTTCAGATACAGACTGGTTAACTGAAGGAGGACAGGACCACCGGCAGGCAACAGCGTCTGCTCGGACCCGCCAGCGCGACACGTTCTACAGCGACACTGCCCATCTGATGCGGCTGTTCGCCCTCTGCTCACGGAGCCAGGAGAGCTCCTCAGAGGGAAGCCAGATCTATTATTAAAAGCAGGTTGTTATCTTATGATGTAAAAGTACATGTCATTGGCTTTTTGGTAATCTTGAAAATTGAGTCAAAACAAACAAACAAAAAATAAAACAAACAAAACCCCAAACACGTGACAGATTTAGATTCTGAAGCCCCTTCCACTGAATGCCCCTCTTTCTCCAGTTTGAATTCCAGCCTCTGGACTGTGATTCCTGTTAAAGCACTGAGGCGAATCACTTCCTACCCTTTTCCATGTCAAAAACGCCCCCGCCCCCTCACAATGTGTTCCCCCAAAAAGAGCAGGTGGGGCCTTCACTAAAAACAAGGTAAAAATCTTTTCTCACTACATCACACAGTCGGGATGTCAGGTGGCATGATAATGGAATCAAAACCCTACACGGACACTAGCCCCAGCCCCTGATGCACCATCTGCTACGCATGCGCGGCCTGCTGCCTACATCTCACGTCCAGTCTCTGAACTGCGGCCATAGAGCAGGCAGCAGACGGGGTGCTGGTGTGTCCTACTTTCGCAGAGAGGCCCAGACCTCCTCATGCGTGGGGGCCCACCACCGCCTTTCCAATGACCACCTTTGCAGGCTGGAACCCGCCCTGTGTCGGGGCAGGGACCCTGATCGCCTCTGGGAAGGTGATCTGGAGGAAGTCGAAGCAAACCATTTACCGACTTGCCGAGGCCTGCGATCCCTGTCACTCTGAACTACGACTTGATGTCCCCCGCACAGCTTCTTGCTAGATACTCGTCTGTTTCTACAACCAAGGGGCCTGACCTTTGACTGGGCGCTGCTCTAACGGGAAGGGAGGACGAGAGATTTGGCAAATTCTTTCTGGCAGAGCTGCCTGACAGTTGCGCCTCCCACCTTTTGGGTGGATGGCCACCAGAAGTCGGGGACTCCAGGACGAGCCCCCGGGCGGACACCTAGCCGAGCTCGAGCAAGCCCAGTTCAGAAGGGAGAAGCTGCTTTCGAGACACGCTGCCTCAGGGCCAGGAGTCTTCCGAAGACTTCCAAAGTACACATGATTTCTGTAACTTCTTGGGTGTAAAGGGAGCAGAGAATGGAAGAAGCGACAGGGGCAGGAGAACACGGAGCGGGCGGCACTCAGAACCTTTCCGAGCGTGACTCCAGACCGGGCTCGACTCGCCACGGGTCGGAACTGTGCTCAACAGGAGGCTGGAGAGGAGAATCAGAGTCTGTGATTCTGGGGGCGGGGGACGGGCCACTAGGGAATTTCCAGCCACGACTTGCCCTCTTCTTTCCGCTGGTTCAGATGGGGACCTGGGGCCCGACACCTGTCCTAGTCAGTGGAGAACAGGTCCCCGGCAGAAGGCAGTGGGGCCAGGCCCCCCGTGACGTTGGGTAGCAGCGAGAGGTCCGGCAAGCTCTGGATGTGGGACTTGAGCTCCTTGCGGACCTGGGTAACCCGAGCGAGCTTCTGTTTATATTCCTGCGGAAACAAAGAGAAGACGGAGAAACTCAGTCTGCTGATGGGCAGCTGCAGAGGACCAACCAGCCCCTCGCTCTGCTGCAACTCCCTCCCACCCAGGAGACTCCTCTCCCTGTCACAGAGACACCGTGCCAGCGTTTTCAAACTCTTTAAAACCTTACTAATTTCTGTTGGTTTGGGGCCACATTCATCAGTGCTTAGGAATCACTCCTGGTGGTACTGGGGAAACCACAAGTTGGTGCTGATGGATAGAACCACAATCAGTGGCCTGCTAGGAAAGTGTCGAACTCCTGCACAGTAGAAAAGACCCCTCAAAGATAAAACTTCAGATTGGAGTTCATGAACGGCAAGTGGGTAAAATGGCATTTAACTTCGTATTCCCAGGTAAAAAGAAGTGACATTTTGTATTTGAATTCTTTTTGAGCCGGTTCTTAGCTATTTCAAAATAGCTAATAAAACAGAGATGCTCAGAATTTCCAATTGTTTTGAGGCTCCGTCCAGGCATGGCGAGGAAGCAAGCACCGTCAAGCTGTGCTTCTGATTCAGCCCGGGCGGACAGTCTCCACAAACACTCGACAAGTCTGAGTACCCGTAGTGACTTCCCGGACCCTTGAGGTGTTTCCCAGTGGTGCTCCCCCACCATGACCAGCGCTCCCTGAGCTGGGCTTGGGGAGGGGTGGGGGTCTCTTGTTCTCTTGCAGCAAGAGGGAGGCTCTGCGGGGCACCCCCCTCCCCCCTTCACTGTGGCTCTGCATCTCCTGAATTTCAGGTAGAAAAAAAGGTCAAATCATTCCCGAACGTCTGCCCACGTTCTCTAAGCAGCTACTGAATGAGCCACCAGACTTAGGGGCCACTCACAAGGGTGCGACAGAGCACTTCACGTGAAGAATCCTTAAGAACAGGCTGAAAACACTGAGTTCCTGGACCCACATGCTGGGCTGACTCAGGAGCGCCTCACCAGGGAACAGTCTGTCCCCAGTGGGAGGGCGGACGCATCAGCAGAGGGGAAACCACCTCAGTTCAATACTCTCCTCTAGACAAGCTCTGCAGAAGAAACCCCGTCAACTTCTGCTGGGGATCGAAGAACGGTTGGGCGGTTATTATTACACTTCTGTATGTCACCCAAACCCCTTTATAATACTTCTACACTTCTCTTTTTGCAGTGTCAGGGATGGAGCTTAGGGCCCCGTGCTCCTGGGCACACTTTCTAAGCACTCAGGGCAGAAACTCGACTGCAATGACAGGAGAAATGCTCTCCATGGAAGCTCCTTTCTCGGGCCACTGTGACAACATCCTGCCCACCATGTGCCTCCCCAGGCCACTAACTTCAGCCTTCTGTGTGGTTTCTTCGTTCGGAGCAGAAGACACATGAGCTTGGGGTGAGGCCACCATTAGAGTAAGGGTGGGACGGTCACTGACAAGGAGGACAAAACTGGACTGTAAAAAGTTACTCTAGGGGCTGGAGCGATAGCACAGCGGGTAGGGCTTTTGCCTTGCATGCAGCCAACATGGCCGACACAGGTTCGATTCCCAGCATCCCATATGGTCCCCCGAGCACCGCCAGGAGTGATTCCTCAGTGCATGAGCCAGGAGTAACCCTGGAGCATCGCCAGGTGTGACCCAAAAAGAAAAAAAAAAAGTCACTCTAGAAAAAGGTCCGTGGTCTCCTTCCTACATGCTGAGAGGGAACCAAGGAAATTTAAAATAAGAAGGAAATATAGGGGCTGGAGAGAGAGTGCGGGGATTGGGCACAGAACCAGAGGCAGGACCCAAGCACTGCTGGGTGTCTCCCCTCTCCCACACCTCATAAATAAATAAAATGAAATACCATCTATATCAGCATGCAATGATAAGAGCAGGTGCTAAAACCGTGAAATACTCAGGTAGAAGCCTGAAAAAACATGTGCAAGATGCACACGAGATAAATAGTTGATTTAAAAAAAAAAACCTAAAAGATGGAGCGAAGTCCACAATTGTGGGCAGGAACAATACTGTTAAGGTGCCCATGCTTCCCAATGTGATCGAGAGTCAATGCAGTCCCAGGTGAATCACTACCAGTGACCGTGAGTGCTGAGAGAGACCCTCTAGTTCATGGAGAGGCGGAGGACCAGGGAAAGCCACGCAACTCTCCAATCACGAAAGATGACTGCAACAACCCATCCCTATTCCCTGAGCAGGCCCGGGGCCACAGCAGAGGAGGGTAGGGCGCGTGCCTTGTACTCAGCCAGCCCGAGTTCGATCCCTGGCACATGGTTCCCCGAGCCCTGCCCGGAGTGATTTCTGAGCTCAAAGCCATTGATCACCGGGTGTGCCCTCAAACCAAAAATAAAAAATTCACCTCTAACTCTTGAACCTTAGTAACCAAGAGCCTGCTGAGGACTCGAGCGTCACCTTACTGATGGCACAGATTTGGCACACTGCATACATATTGTTCCCTTTTAATAATGCTGAAGAAAAAGTGAAGATCAGAAGGAAGAAAAATGCATTTAGAGACAGTTACTGCTTGCTGTGTTCTGTGAGGTTATACTATTTACAGGAAAATCCGGATCAAAGTGGTCCTTCAAACTCATGTTCAAGGACCCACTGTATTGGAATGGCATGCGAACAATTGGTCACATTCACACACACCCCAACAAAACTTTTTGCAAGACTTCCTTTGCAAGGTAAAAAATTAACTTGGAACTAATCACAGACCTAAATGTAAAACTATAAGCTCTTAGACAGCAGCAGTGAATTTACCTGACCTCTGCTTTGCGGCTTTTTGCCTCCAACACCAAAGGCACGACACACAGAAGGAGAAAAAAAAAAGCCAGACTTTATTCAAAGGCAAGATCTCTGTTTTGTGAAAGGCACTCTCAGAGAGTGAAAAGACAAGCCACAAAATGGGCGGATGCATTCTGCAAAAGACACATCTTTATTTTATTTTTATTTATTTGGGTTTTGGGGCCACCGCCGATGGTGCTCAGGGATCACTCCTGGCAGGCTCCAAGGACCTGGGGTGCTGGGGATCAAACTCAGGACCGATGCATACAAGGCCAAGTGCCCTACCTACCGTACCATCACTACACCCGAGACAAGTCTTTGGGAAAACACAAACTAAAACAACAATAAGATACAGACACGCACTTACACCTGCTGCAAAGACCCAAATTCAGAGCATGACAATTCCAAATGCTGGGAAGGATGCGGAGCAACAGAATTCTCAGATACTGCTGGTGGCACTGCAAAGACAGTGCAGTGACTTTATCAGTCTGGCAGAAGTAAAACTATCTCACAACCAAGCAATGATGTTCATTGATAATTACTCAAGGTGTTTAAAACACATGTCCACACAAGTTTATGGTGCACTTTTTGTAACTGCCAAATCCTGGAAGCAACCAAAGCACTCTTCCATAGGTCTCGTACATCCAAGCAACAGCGTGGTTTTAGGTACTGAAGAGAAATGAGCTATGGAGCCATGAAAAGAGACGGAGGAATTGTGAAGCTAACTGAAAGCCGCCCATCCACGAAGGCCAATGCTGTACTCACTCCACTCTGGCATGCTGGAAAAGGAAAAACTATGGTGACAGGAGCTGGAGAGGAGGAGAATGAATAAGTGGAACAGCATTTTGAGGGTTCTGAAAATATTATAACGATGGACACATGCCACTGAACATCTGTCCGAACGGCGACTATGCAAACTGCTAAGAGTAAACCCTAAAGCGAACTATGGGCTTGGGGTGCCTATGACGTGCCAATGTGGGGTGATGACAGAATGCTTCACATACTACTCCAGTGGGAAACGCTGATACTGGGGGAAGATCGTGCATGTTTGGGGCACCTGGGAAATCTCGGTACCTTCCTCTTAATCTTGCTGTAAACAGAAACTGCTCTTTAATAAAAAATATGCATTGGCTGAGAGTTAAAAATGCCAGGTCTTTTGGGGTTTGAATATGAAAATATTCAAAATATGGTGGTGGTAAGGTGCGATAATGGTGGGATTGGTGTTTGAATTTTAAATGTAATCAAATATTGTGAACAACTTTTTAAAACTTAAAAATAAAATAAAATTCCTGGCCATCACACAGAGATATATATGTCAATCAGCAGTTCAACATTTTTAGTATCTGCTTTACCAATAAAATGGGCTGGAGCAATAGCACAGCGGTAGGGTGTTTGCCTTGCGCGCAGCTAGCCCGGCTGAGCTGGGTTCGATTCCTCCGCCCCTCTCGGAGAGCCCGGCAAGCTACCGAGAGTATCTCGCCCGCACGGCAGAGCCTGGCAAGCTCCCCATGACGTATTCGATATGCCAAACACAGTAACAACAAATCTCATGATGGAGACGTTACTGGGCCCACTCGAGCAAACTGATGAACAACGGGAGGGCCTTTACCTTTACCTTTATGCATACAAGTAAAAATTACCTTTAAAATTATTAAAACATGTACCTGCTTAAAATGGAAATTGAATCTAACCTACGGATTAGCCTAAAGTCTTGAGATAAGCAAATGAGCAGTTAGGTCAAACAATTACTTCTATAATCCCCTGAATAGATTCAATCACTACCAACTCTGATCTATTGCTCCTCTCCTTAAAAACAAACAAACAAACAAACAAACAAACACAACAACAAAAAAAAACCCAACAAAACCCAAACCAAAAAGCTCGGCCTTTCCAAATAAAAGTCATGTACAGATGCTGCGGCAGAATCAACAACAATATAACAGTGACTCCAAACCGAACGCCCACCTCACCAGCCTTCCCCCGCCCCCAGCCAGAAGCAGGTTCAGATGCTTCCTCAGCGAGGTGACCCCCACCCCCATCTCCCCTTTCCACTTAAACCTCTTTGGTTCTGGAAGGTAAAGGAGACAGAACTGAGTACACCCAAGAAGCATTTTCCCTCAACCTCTCAACCTGCTCTCTGGCCAAAGTGTGGGCTACAAACAGTCGTCACGAAGCTCCAAACCACGCCCTCAGCAACTCCTGTCCTCGGAAGAAACCCCAGCCTCGCACGAAACCTC